GAAGGCGGCGTTGCCAGCGACGCCCAGCCGACGGCGGTGGGTGCGACGCAAACGGAAGCCGCCGTTGGGGCGTCGGTGCCTGCACGGCCTCCACCACCACCACCGCCGGGTGCAGAAGTTGACGCAGCGGCGGCCGGCTCCGCGACGGCTGGCAATCGCCCCGCTGCCGGCAACGGCGTCGGCCCGCAGCCGCACAGCGCAGAACCGGTGCGGGACGGTGCGCAGTCGACGGACGGGGCTGCCGCAGCAAGCACCACCACCGGCGACGTTTCGGCAACTGCGGTGCAGCCGCCACAACAGGGCGTTGACGCCGCAGTGGGCAATAAAAACGCCTCGGCTGGCGCGCAAGAAATCCCCCCAGCGCCCGACGCGGTGCCTCTCCCCGGCAACAGCTCCGCTGCCTCCAAGCACAGCACTGACTTGAGGCCCAGCGAGGAAAGCAGCGACGGCGCTCTGCGTGGGTGCGTGTCTCGGCTATTGCTGCTTGCCCTGCTGGGGCTGTGGGGCACGACGGCTCTCTGCTGAATGCAAGAGGGAGAGTGGACTTGTAACCCCTCGTCTAAAATGTGCGCGCTGCGGTCCCAGCGGGTCTCTTCATTTATATACCCGTTTGTTTGTTTTTGTTTTGTTTTTGTCTATTCCCCTCCTCCTTTTTCCTATTTGGGCTTTGCTGTAAGAACCAATACCCTGTGGGCACCTTTTTTGTTTTCATTCGTTTCCTTAATGATCACTTGCTATACGCACTGCTAAGAGTGACGTGTTTATTCCCTCCTGTTTGCATTTTTGTTTGCTGCCCACACACATCCACAGGCGATGGCGGCTGCGCTGCTGTGCGCCGCACGGATGCGACGCAACTGCCGGGCGGGAGCGCAGGCCGAAGGCCGCATGAAATGTTCGGGAGGTGCAAATGTGTGGGCTCCTGCAACAGGGCTATGTTTTCCTTTTCTTCGTGCAGGTATTAAAATATACAAACACACTCTCCCAGTCCTCTTGTGCTGCTGGACGCGTGAGGTAAAGAAAACACCTGCCGAAGTAATTTTTTTTTCCTTTTGGGTTCTGCGGGGATTATTTATTTCTTCTTCCCCGTCGTTTCTGTTCTTCTGCGGCCTGGGCGATGCCCACCGCTGCCGTGTTTGGTCGCACCCTTCTTAAGTCCCTCTTGCTTCTTTCTCTCCTCCGCCCTTCTCTCTTTTGCCCCCACACCCACGCCGAAGGAAAAGAGACCAAGCGCTGCTTGCAGCCTCTGTGCGCTTTGAGGAGTCTGCAGCTACCACCACCAGCAATCAACACACACACACACAATTGTTTAGGCCTGAGCGGATCCGCCGCAGGGGGGGAAGAGAGAGTGAGAGAGCGTCAACGGTCCAACATGCCCCGGCCCCTGTTTGCCTCTGCGGTGCTGCTGCTTCTCCTCTGCGCGTTGATATGCTGCGGCAACATTGGTGCTGCGGCCGCTAATCAAGCGGATGTCATCAACCCATTTGCGGGGACGACAGAAGTGACTGGTGCTGCATGGGAAGGCGTTGGGGAGTCTAGTCAATCGGTCAGCTCCCTCC